TTCAAGTACAAAATCATGTGTATGTTTGAAAAATATGCGTGTAAATTTCCTGAGATTTTGGACGATAAAGGCTAATGATATTTCGTATTGGATTTTTTCTTCTGTGGATCTTTCTCCATATTTGAAAGCATCGATTATTTCTGTTTCATGATTCATGATCGCAAGGTGATTGATTTTATTTCCTTGTGAAATCACATTTCCTCTGCTTTATGTACAGTATATGCTGCGTGTATAGACATGCAGTGTATGTGGCGTGTATAAGGAGTATACGTGGCGTGTATAGGGAGTATATGTGGCGTGTATAGGGAGTATATGTTCAGTATATCAAAAGATTTTTTTGTATATTGTTCAGTATATGTTATGTGGACCGAAAGTATATTTTCAATATATTAGAAGATTTTTTGTATAGGGAATATAAGTACCCGTTATACATGTTTTTCGTTGCAACATATATTGAATATATAATAAACATAAACACAATATATACCACTTGACGGCTGCGTGAATTACAATACATGTTTTTATTTCTCTCTATTAAACAAACGTACAAGCTGTGCGAATTAAGGAAACCGTTGATTTTTTATTTTTTTTATGGAAACGGCCGATTTTCATTCCATATCAATGAAGGCAAAGTTTTTTTTTTTTTCTTTTTTCTTTATGGAAATGGCAGAAATCATGGGAACGGAAAGTGGATGGAGTCCTCTTTTTAGGTAACTGAATTTTAGGCATAAATGTAGTTAAATCTTGACAATTAGGTAGAGAAACAATTATTTGTTAATGGATGGTAGATTTGTAAAATTTTTAATTTCATATAGGATAAGTGAAAATTTCTCTTCTTATTTATCACCATTTTTCATCCTCTAAAATCCAACTTTCACATACTTTTAAGTTGGGCAAAATTTGATGGGGCAAGAATTCGAGGTGCTTTATGGAGATTCAAAGGCCATTTAATATACGGGCTAATCTCTAATGTGTGGGTTTAGTGGGCCTTTTCTCTTATTGGACTAAAGTGAATAGTATGTCCAACTCGAATAACAATATTAGCTGTTCCGTAATGTTTTGCAGTTTGTTTATACATAATTTTTATAAAAAAATTTAAACTTCTTAAAAAAATTGCAATTCTGTCTTATGAGACAAATTTTTATATTAAAAGGACGAAAGTTTCTTCTGTATGTTTATACTTAGTTTATTTCGGTTAATACACTATTCCTGGAACAATTGAAAATTAAATTAAAATTATGAACAAGTTAATAAACCAAACAGCGTTGTTGGATCACACAATATAAAATAAACCATAGACAAAGAAATATTGGGTTTATGAACCTGCAATGAACTATATTTGGGTACACTTATACAATAATGAAACGGGGTTTAACTTATAATTTTAAATATAATGTTTTATCGTATTTGTGCATGTGAACAAGATTTGAATACTGGTATGTAAATATTAGTCATGTTTGACCATAGTGTAGAGTTTGAGTACAAAAGTGTCCAAAAAATTGTATGACATTGTGACACCTAAACTTTAGAAGAAAATAAAAAATGTGGGATCACAAGTGGAGTATAGCATTCTCAATCTCATTGGAAGAAAAATGCAAGATTCTTGTAAGTAGGTTACAATTTAGTATAAGTAACAGTTTTAATGAAAAATTATATACTAAAAAATCTGTTCACATGAATCCCATGATCTGAAAATGTGTAGATCCCATGTACCTTCACCTAAAGAAACATAAAAAAATTAAATCAAATCAAATCATCAATTTTCAGTTAAACCTGCTCGATCATTCTGACCAAATTGTTGAATTTAAAGTGCCTAAATGTACGGGGAGACTGAGACTTATAAAATTATTATTATTATTTATAAATTGAATTTTTCAAACTAGTGGACAAAATAAATTCAAGAGATATAAAGAAGCTTGTGATCTCTAGTGGACAATTTCAAATCCTTACTCAACACGCTTCCCTCTGACGTATTTAATTAAAATATTTGCCTCACAAGTGCACAAATAAATTATTATTTATTAAATAAAAAACTATTACACTATGTTTGGATATTTATGACTTATGAGCGTGGATGAAATTACAAGGCCAATTAATTATATGCACTTTAAAACAGTCGAGTCATGATAAAGAAATTGGTATAACTTTTATGATAGAGGATTTTCAAAATTTTAGATTGTTGGATTATCTATAATACTAGGCATGTAACCTTGGTAAATTGCAAAATAGGGTACTATAGTCTATAGTAGCATATCTTGTTAGTAGCAAAATAGGGTACTAAATAGAGTAACATTTATAAACTAGTACGAATCTCGTGCGATGCACGGGTAAGAGATATTCATTAGTATTTATAAATTAAAAATAATTATTAGATAATATTTATAAACTAAAAATATTGAATCAATATGTAATACGTTTACCTATATTAATTTATTGAAAATATTATATAAATTTCATATCGTGCAAAATTACATAAAATATGTCAATTTAATTAGTATACAACCTGGTGCACGTAACTGATAATAAATTACATTATATTTATTTCAAAATAAGTGTCATTTTAAAATATTTATTCAAAAATTCGATTCGACTACAATGTGATTCCATAAAATAATTCTTTTGGTAAAATTTTATCATATGTTTAAAAATCTATGTGAATAATAAGTACAATTATAAAACTTATAGTGTTCATTAATTAAAATGAATTTAATTTTGTATAAACTATCAAAATAAAAAAATTTAAGTTGTTGAGTAATTTATTAAACTATAATTAATTGACTATTTCATTTATGCCTAAGTTAATATTGACACGTAAGTTATGAATAATTATTTATTTGACTTTTAAATTTGAAACCCAAATTTGAACTATACGATAAATTTCCTTAGATATATATTTTCCCTTATATATAAATTCCCTTATATACATATTATCTCACAATTTTCTAGAGTTGTTGTCGGTTAATTTTTAAATTTTAATAACTAATATTTGTTCAAAGATGTTTATAATTTTCAAGAGGAATACATACCATTTTGTCAAATTATCATTAGAATTTTTTGGCAAGTTATTATAGAAATATGCTAAATTTTGAGAAACATATTACCTTGATTTTATAACAAATCAACCTAAAATTCGACTTTCATATCCATAAAAAAAAATCATTTTTCAATATCTTTTTGTTCGAAAAAGATACATTTATCCTGTAAAAGAGTTGGATTGCGTAGAGTTTTCATGGTGTTTTGCTTGATGAGTCTCATGATTTCTTATCAATACAGAATATCTATTTGTTTTTTATGTTTTGCTTGATTTTTTGATGAGTGGGGATACAATAACAACTCAGAGTGTGTATGTTATTTATAGGCAAATTAAGTGTTAATTTAATAGGTGAAAAAAAATATCTCGATATTAGATGATTGGAGCGTTAGAATGATATTATCTAAATATTTGAAATGATATTCGCGTACATTATTAAAATTTGAAATGATTTGATATTTATCCATCAAATTAAACAAAAATTATATTTAGTAATATCTCTTTATTTTAGTATAAAAAAATAAATGGGCTCACTTATGCTTTTTTTTTCCTAGGGTTGCGATATTAATACATAAGCTTAGCCATTTCAAAATCTTTTTAGATTAATAGTTTAGTTATCCACAAATTTATCAAATAAGTGTTTGGTGAAGATTTATCAAAATCTTTTTAGATTAGTAGTTAGTTATCCACAGATTCCATCATGAATTATCCACAAATTATTGTTCCAATATTATCTCTACACCATTAATTTTGAATTCAAATTGTGAGTAAAAACAAAAACTACACTATTATTGTTTTCAAGCTTTCTATAAATAGAATGTCAAAGGTATTATTTATTTGGTCAAAAGTTTCCAAAAATGATTTAACCAACAACCTTTTTATATATAGATAGATTAAAAAAAAAAAATTGAGTCGACCTAGCTAATTGTTAACGAACCCTTATACTTTTTATTTTTAATAAAACACAAATATTTATATGAGGCGGCCAAACTATTAGGTGGATCAACTCATTATATTTTTTTTAATACAATGCATATTTACGTTACGAAATGTCATATTTTTGTTTATATTTTTTACAGTGACATTTTAGTTAAAAATATGAATATCTATTAAAAAAATATGATGATGATTTTCTAACCATTAGATATGTCTAACAATATGATTTTGCAATTTTTATTTCACAACTGTGTCTTTTTTCTTCAGTTGTTACCGACGGTTTGAGAGACGTAACATTTCAACGTAAAAGAAATAATATAATAAATTTTGGAAGAGCCAAATCTAGCATTTTTACGTACGTATAGCTTTAAAAAGAATAATCTTGGGGATACAAGAGCATCTCCTCCAGTGTGAGATGGTAAAATAATAAATAGTTAATCACATATTTTTATTTATTATAAATAGAATAAGTTTCGCATATTGCATATATTAAACATTTACTTGTTTGGATGCTAGCAAATTGATATAAAATTAATGGATTGAATGTCATTTAGAGGTTTGACTCGTCAAATATGTAAACTAGCTTATTTAATAAAGATTTTTTATTTTTATCATCTTGGTTGACGATGCTAATTAAAAAAAAAATCAATATAATAGTGTTATTAGTTTTGTTTGTGCAATAAAAGTATAAAAGTATCATGATAAATACTCTTCGGAATTATGTGGATATGTAATTAAACCTTAAATACTATCGGGGATTATGGTGATGTGGTTGTCTGCTTGATAAATAATTATCTTAAATTTTATATAAATTTATTTAAGGGATAAAATTAGGTTAATTCCAAAGTGGTGAGATGCATATTTTTCCTTCAAAACATGTTAAGCATAAAAGGTTTTATTTATTTTTATTTTTTAAAAAATATGAATAATTAGGTCATCAAAAACCATTATATCCATACTTTCGATATAAAAAAATATATTCTTTATAACATATTACATATCCTATCCCCTCTATATATAATTTCAGAATGCACTGAGCCTACGTGGCAAATTTTCATGCTTCGAAATCCTATTTGGCAAAAAACTATGCTTTGAAGTTAGACTTGGATATAAATTAATATTTTTTATCACACTAAATTCATAATTAGTTTTTCCTTCTTTACTTCTACAATTAGTTACCATAAATTATTTTATGTTTCATTTTTCTACATTACCATACATCACATTTCATTTTCTCATATAACCCATTCATTAGTTTTTATAAATGTTTTTTCTTCTTATTTTAAGATTTTATAACTTTTTTTGTTTGTATTTTTTCTCGAATATGATTTTTTATATACGATATATCAAATTAACCATCTTTTAACGATTTTCGATTTGACATCTATATTATATATATAATATACAAAACAATAATATATATCCTTATAAATAAAATTAAAATTTATTTATCAAATAAAACTATAAATTTTATTATAAAGTAATAAAAATTGATATGTATTTTTTTAAAAATGATATTTACTTTAAATCTAATTGGTATGTTGCAAATTTAATAAAAATAAATAATTATTTATCTAAATTCTAAAATTACATATAAACTTAAAAAATGTGAAGCACGACTGATACGACACTTGATGTATTAGGCATCTAATTAAGTAAAAAAATTAATCTATTTTGCTTAATACTAAATAAACATATTCTACACTTATACATATACATATCACCAAATTATTTCTATTTACACGAGTTGACATTTTCATTTAATGTAAGCGTGTTTAATTATTATGATTAAAAAATAAAATTTGACAATTTAATAAAAAACCAAAGTAATGGTGTTTAATTATTATGACTAAAAAATAAAATTTGATGATTTAATTAAAAACCAAAGTAATGTTTTATATAAAATTAAATTATTTATGTTTAAAAAAAATATTATTTTTTACAAAAGATTTCTAATTCAACACCCGTGTAATACACGGGTGTTGTACTAGTTTGATTTAAACGTAAATACATCATTTAAACTTGAAAATATATGCCTTATTCAATTAATAACACGTTAAATATTTATAATTAAATATGTATGCTCAAACGTTATTTAAACTAGTATTCAATCCTGTGTACATGCACAAATAGAAATTAAAATTTATATATTATTTGTACTTATATGATATTTAAATATTTAAATTAGATTAAGTGTGTATTATATTTTAAAATTTTAATTATATGTAAATTTATAATATAAATATAAATTATAACTGCCATATAAATCAGTTTTTTGTTTTTGTATAACTATTATAAAAAATAAGAATACTAGCTGTAAAATAATTTAGTATTTTCTATTTAGAATATTTAAAATCTTGTAAAGTTGTTACAGAATAAAAAATTAATAATAATAAAGTTTTAATTGTGTAACTGTCATTTAAATGCTTTGAATGATGGCCATCAATATTTTTATTAAATGAAGTCCTATGTTTATTAATTGCTAGTTGAATAAAATTTATAGAAACTGGCCAGCAATTATGTATATATAGATATAGATTTGATATGATATAATATGCGTATTTTATAAAACTTTTCATATGAGATAATAAACATTTGTTTTTACATAACTTTTCATTTACAAATATATAAGATTTTGATTTATAAATTAATTGGAGGTTGTAGGTTGTATTCTACAATATGTATACAAAAAATAGCACATAACAATTTAGATGTTTCTAGAAGTATTATGTAACATTATAGATAAATTGAATTACATATTAATTTCACATTTTTATTTTAATTATTATGTAATATTGTGTACAGTAGAGACATACAAGTAGACATTACCAAATTCCAGACCCTACCCGATCGGTGGGTCAATGGGTTAAAATATACGACCCTAAACTGGCGGGCCGGACTGGACCCAACCATGGACCTGATAAAAAAATTTAAAGTCGTTTTTTTGCCTGGCCCAATCCGATCTGACCCTATCGGTAATATCTTCAAAATGGCCGAATTGAATCTGCATGGTTAGAATCTGGGCCCGGGCCCAGACACGTTGACTACAGGTTTGACCGTGCCCGATTTGTGCTGGGTCTGGGCTGAGCAACCTGTGCTATGTACGAGTATATATCAAAGAAGAAACGTTAAATATCTGTTTCGCAAATATAAGACAATTATTTTTTTTTTTTTTTCAATTTAAG